ATCAGCTTTTGAAACCCTTGGAAGGTAAACGAACTATGGAAATAATTTGTAAATACTTCACTCAGGTCACATAGATTATATAATTAGTAAATCTCGAAATATTTTTGGAATTATTTTAATTAGATTCAATTTTTCTTTGTATAAAATATATTTTATTTTTTTTCGTCCGAATTTCTTTTGATGTAGGTACTCGGTATTTTTTAGTGTTTTTACTGGTTGTAGTGGGTTTATTTTCTCAGTGTTTTCTTTGTTTTCGGCTAAATACTTCTATCAGGTTAATAAAAATAGAGGTTTCCGAATCACTGCCTATGTGCTTACTCCTGGACATGTAACGCCTTCCACTAGTTCTTCTGCTGTATATCTACACTTTGTTGTTGCTATGTCTTGTTATATAACTTTTTGGATATATATATATATATATATATATATATATATATATATATATATATATATATATATATATATATTAAGAATTTACAACTCTATTGCACCTAGATTCTACTCTCTACCAAAAATACATAAAACAACCCTAGAAATGAGACCAATTGTTGCATCCATTGATTCTCCAAACAGTAAATTATCCAAGTTATTAACAGAAATATTAACAAATGCATATGACAGAAATAATTATTACTATATAAAAGATTCATTTAGTTTCAGCTCCTTTATCAACAATTTCAAACTTTCCCCAAATTATGTGTTGGTAAGTTTTGATGTAGTATCATTGTTCACCAACTTGTCGTTTCAGTATATCATGAATACTATAAAAAAACAATGGACAAACATCTCACAACACAGCTTAATAGGTTTTGATTCATTTGCAACAATACTATCCTTCATATTTGACTCATGTATGTAAATGAATATGGATTAAGGTTCAAAATACCTGTTACGGAACCTCTATTAACAGCAGATCATCGGAGACAACGTTTACACTTCGCTCGCGAATATCTTAATTGGGGTGTTGACGATTGGAGTGCTGTTCTTTTCAAGGATGAATCACGATTTAACAGATACTCATCAGATGGGCGGCCTAGGATATGGAGAAGAGCTGGAGCTGTATTCTCAACTCACTCCACTCACAAGCGAGCGCTCCTTCACGGGAGTGATTTGATTGGCAGCGGTATGACATTCTGCGATTCTCAAGTACCGCTCCTCTCGCAAATTTAGATTGCGAGCGATTCAATTTGGCAACATTGTGATTTCATAAAAATTCGACATCTACATATTGAAAAAAGAAGAAATCCTAACCTAGCCTATGTTTACGATTTGATTTAGTTGTGTTATTTTGTGTTTATAATATGGCGAAAATAAGTGCACAACAAAAAAATACATTAATTGCGTTATTAAAAGACAAACCTAAATTAATTAGTGGGAAATTCGATTCAAATTTTACACATGCGACAGCAAAGGCTGAGTGGGAGGCAATTGCTGCAGAATTGAACAGTATGTGAACGTTATCAGCAATGTTGTTATACTCTGAGAGTTTAATTTCGTGGAGGTGGTATAATGGTGTGGGAAGGCATTTCCCTAGAGGCTCATACAGAACTGGATACAATTCAAGGGGGCAATTTGAACGCTCAACGGTATATTCAGTAATGTTTGGAAGAATATTATGTAGTGTTATTTGTCCAATTTGTTGGAGACAACTTTCATCTGATACAAGATAATGCTCGTCCGCACATCGCAAGAATAACACGGGATTACTTGGTGGAAGTTGGGATACGTTTATTACCATGGCCCCCAAGAAGTGCAGACTTAAATTCAATAGAGCATGCATGGGATATTCTGGGACGACGTATTTGTCGTAACCATTGCTTGTGGAGGTAATACACTCTACTAAATATCGTTTACCATAAAAAATGTTTGTATTAAAAAAAAAATTGTTTCTTTGTAGGTTTTCAAACATTTTGAATTGTTTATTGTTTTTTCTGTGTAATATTCCTGAGTTGTAATAAATTTGACTTTTAAATTTTGTTTATTATTAAATACTCGATTGGGAACAATTGAAAATTTTGACAGTTTTTAGGAAAAATCCTAAAAAAAATTAGGAGTGTGCAGTTAATTTTGCACCCCAGTGTATAAATCTTGTTAAATTAACTGAAATAATAGTACAACATTACTATTTTAAGAAAAACGGAATGAAATAATTAATGACAAAACTGAATAGAGAAGTTAAAAAAGACGTGGATAAGGCGAAAAATATAAACTGGGAGGCTAAGTGTGATGAACTGGACAGATTTATGGGTGGAACAAAAGTGGCGCAAGCTTGGAAAACATTAAAACAGTTTAGGAAAAATGAAGACAACATTTCTCTCATAAAGTTAAATGAATGGGAAGAATATTATACGAAACTGCTGAAAGAGGATAGAGTAGAGTACAGATGGGAAAAGATAAGGGAATTAATAGACAACAGAGACGAAAGACAGGAAATCCCTATAATAACATTATCTGAATTGACGGAAACCTTAAAAGAGGTTAAAAACGGAAAAGCCGCAGGGCCTGGAGACATTCCCATAGAGCTGGTTAAATATGGGCCGACTGCACTTTTAGAATTAATAGTAGACCTTTTCAATAAATGTATGTGTGGAGACCAGGAAATTCCTAAAGATTGGAATAAATCTTATATAAGCTCCATATATAAGAGAGGGAATAAAAGAGACTGTTCCAATTATAGAGGTATTAGTATGACGAGCTCTGTGGGCCGGTTGTACGGCAGAATATTAAAGAAGAGGGTTGAAAGACAGATACAAGATATTGAAGAACAAAGCGGCTTTCGTACTGGGAGATCCTGCCTTGATAATATATTTATCCTACGACAAATAATTGAAAAGCGTGTCGAAAGAAGTAGAGAGACCCATTTGGTATTTATAGACCTTGAGAAAGCATATGATAGTGTCCCGTTAAAGAAAATGTTTGAGGTCCTCAAAAGGTCCGGATTGGATTCGACGTATATCCGAGCGATATATAAATTGTACGAAAATGCAGTTAGTTGTGTAAAAATTGGAACCAGAACCTCAAATGAATTTAAAGTCACTAAAGGCCTAAAGCAAGGATGCTGTTTGTCACCGACACTCTTTAAAATATACGTCCAAGAAGCATTGAGGAATTGGAGAAATAAATGTAGATTTATGGGCATCGAAGTGGGACAAGAAACTCTGTATACATTGTTGTTTGCAGATGATCAGGTGGTGGTTGCAACCGATGAGGAAGATATAAATTATATGAATCGAAAATTATTTGAGGAATATGCCAAATGGGGGCTTACTGTAAACATAAGCAAAACAGAATATCTAAAAATTGGAGGAAATACCACAGATCTGAGGCTTGAAAACGCAGTCACAAAAGGCTGCAACCAGTATAAATATCTAGGAAGCATCATATCAGCAGATTGGAGAGTTAAGATAGATGTACAAAACCGAATAACCCAAGGGAAAAAATGCATCTGAATACTGAATTCATTACTGTGGTCTAATAAAATAAAGATGCATACCAAACTTCGCGTATACAGAGCAATTGTAGAACCAATTACCACATATGGTGCCGAATGTTGGACGATGACAAAGAATGAACGAGATAAATTAGACGTTGTGGAAATGGATTATCTTAGAAGGTCATGTCGAGTATCGAGAATGGAAAGAATCAGGAATGAGGAAATACGAAACCGTACAGGAATTAGAGATACTCTCTCAGATAGAATACAAGGAAGGCAATTACAATGGTATGGTCACGTAATGAGAATGGAGGAGGAGCGGTGGCCAAAGAAAGCCTTAATGTATGTTCCGCCAGAAAGAAGGAAAAGGGGAAGACCACCAAATTCCTGGAGAAGAGAAATTACAAAAACAATGCAATCTAGAGGCTTAGAAGAGGGAGATTGGAGAGATAGGAAAAGATGGAGGCTGAAATGCGGGAAGCGGCAATCGCCGTAGGACCCCCGTTATATGATGATGAATGACAAAACTGTAGTTTGTATTGATTGCATAATGTTTTTACTGATAGAAACAATTTTTTTTGTTTGTCTTATTTAATGAATAATCCTGGTGTCTGTAGTTTTTCTTTGAAACAGTAAACTAAAAAGAAAGGGAATCAAATAATACTTATTTAGTTTCTACTGAACATTTTATTTTTAGTGAACGATTTAAAAAATTACGATTAACAATAAGATCATAAATTAATTGTTCCGACCATATAAAATTTCTGTAACCAAAAATGGGAAACTAATGACGCCAAAGTCATATACAAATTTGTATTGTTGTGTCATAGGTAATTATTAATCGTTGTATCAGGTGCAATAATTAAAACTTCGTCGTTTGGATGTGGTTTTCGATTGTTCATCACTTCCTTTTAATATACATGACAAACGTACTTGATTTTGTTGTTTAACTTGACCTTATAACAGCATCACAATTGTAGAACATATCCAATGCAATAAAAATTTTTGTATGCGGATGATGTTATATTAATCTCGTTATTATAGCATATATATTTTAACCAATTTTTCTGGAAAAAAAAAGGATTAATTTCTCTATTTTAAATATGAGGTATGCAGTATGTTATTTGGAAATAAAACTCTTTGTCTTTATTCTTCAATACTTCGCTAATTATTTGTTAGCATCATCAGAAAAAACCTACAATATAAGTGTAATTTTTAATAAAAATAAAAAGAATATGTTAGAAATTCAAACGTGTTTCACATTTAGTGAAAAAAATCTTCAAACATTTGCATGATAGTTCAAAACAGTACCTAGTCATAATATCACTTAGGTAAACATCACACAAAAAGCAAACATAAAAACATATGACATTTATACCATGTTCATCTCTTATATTTTAAGAACATAACAATCTAAGGCATCTTTATTGTTCCAGAAAACGAATCATCACCTTCGCCATTGGCAGGTCCAGGCCCAGGAGGTCACAAAGCCTCCTTCAAGAGTACGAACAAGCTCGCTAGGCGAGCCCGGTCTTTTAAGGACGACTTTTTGGGGAAGATATCACAGATGAGAAGCCCCGTCGGCGTAGGCGGGGCGCAGTGCGTCACGCTGCGATCACAGAGCCCCAAGGGACCTAAGACAGTGGATTCCCCTGAACCGAGGTTTATAGTCACGAAGGGTCCCGTAGAAGAACTCGACGATCTTTGGAAGCAGATTCAGGTGGCGCTGAAACATTTCAGGTTTGTATTTTTTAGGTTAATATTACTATATTACTGTAAGCAAACTTTATAAACAAAGAATTGGGGATAATAACAAAAATAAACAGAACAAAAACAATAAATAATATGATGTGTCATTGAATTTAATAAATTCAAATAGAAATTCAAAGCATATAGCCAAAAGTAAATTAAAAAGATAATAACAACACCAAGTATACATAGAATGTGAACTGATACTAAACGAGATAGAAATGCAAAGAAAAATTAGGAACATGGCCGCAAATGAAAGAGCAAATGAAAAAAGAACAAAAATCGGTTATGGATTTATAATTATAGAAGGCACAAGATAGAATTGGAACCAAAAACAAATATGATAGAAAAAGCTACAAACAGTACAGTGTCAGCTAGGAAAAAAATACGTGGACGGAACGGGAAATGGAAAAAGCACAGAATAAGGACATGAGTGAACATAAAAATGATAACACAGATCAAAAGAAACCACATTTAAAGGGTAACATAATGACAAACAAGGAGAAGACAATTTTAAAAATAGCAACATGGAATGTAAGAGGCATAAACAGGAAAGAAATAGAACTGGGGAAAAAATTGAAGATAAAAAGATCGAAGTAGTAGCTATAACATAAACTATAAGAAAAGGAAGGGGAGCCATGATATTGGAAAAGGGGAACTTACTAATATATAGTGGAATCTCAAGACTTTCTGAAGAGAAGAACAGAGCTCAGGCAGTGCTAGCAAGCATGGCAAAGAAAAATATCACCAATAAAGTAAGGAATTGGATATATTTCAATGAGCGTATACTTAGAGTAGATATAGATATGTGCGCAAAGGAAGAAATTACGAACCTAATTATTTGCTATGGAATAATGGGAAATTATTACTGGAATTCTGTTTATACAATAACATGATGATCATGAATACACATTTAAAACAAAAAATATCAAATATCAAATGTCATATCAACAAATAACAATCAATTATTCACTATACTCTAGTGCAAAGATTTAATAGAAAAAGAATAGCGCTGAATGTTTATTTGCAGATGACATAGTATAGTATTATACGCCGAAACATTAGGAAAACTGAAGCATAATTGATAAAAATGGAACTCAGAAGCAAAAAAACAACCTAAATGTAAATAAAGAGAAGACACAAGTAATGAAAATAATGTTTTCTAAGAAATGTCACCTCTTTACCCATATCATCATCTTTGGCTCGACAATCCTGTGTGGATCTTGGCCTACTCAAAGATTCCTCGCCATTCTGTTCGACTTCTGGCGACCTGTTGCCAATCTTTAATACCCCTAAATCGGTCTCAACTCCATCAAATCACTTCGCGGTCAGCCTCCGCTTTTTCTTCCTGCAGGTGTTCCTGTGGTTAACTTTTTAGGAATGGGCTCGAACATTGTTCTTGTTATTTCTGTTATTATCAGGTTATGGGATGCTGCAAAGTCTATTAATATTGTTCTATTATCATTACTGGCCTCATGGAGACTATGATTATTGGTCTTGGTAGGTTGCTTCTTTCCCAACCTTTGTATTGAAATCCTCCAAGATAATATGCATGTCCCGTTTGAAGAGATTATTTGTTAGTTGCTCTAGTCTTTTAAAGGAGTTGTCTTTTATTTGCTCTTCATTTTCCTTTTTCGGTACATGGGCTGCAATAGGAAGTAGTTACGCAGCTGTCCTTTTAGACTGATATAGCAGAGTCTTTCATTATCGGGTTTGAAGGTTATGACTGATTTCACAAGACTTTCTGAAGTCACTGCCTTCCCTAGTCCATATAATCTTTTGTAAGGCAGTTATGTTTTTGGATGTATAATCCTTGACCCCCTGAGTTAGATTAGGCTTAGTACGTTTCAGGTTTCTATATTTATTTTCCTTTGTCGTCGCTTTTGTCGTGTTAAAAGATTCTTCTTTTGTAAGTCTTCCTTTTTTTCTGCTATCAGTATCGTCTGCATACCTGATATTATTAATATATTTACCGTTTATTTTTATACCAATTTTGGCGCTGTCTAGTGCTTATTTGAATATGCATTAACAGTAAGTTAAAGAGCAATGGAGATATAACACAGCCTTGTCAGGCACCTCTTTGTATACGGACGCTTTTAGTAGTGTAGTTGGAATATTTAAGGTTACTTCTTGGTTCCAGCAAATGTTTTGAATTATGCGGAGGTCTTTTTCGTCTAGCTTCATTTTCTGTAGTTTATACAACAATTTTTCATGCTGTACTCTATCAAAAGCCCTCTGGAAGTCGATGAAACAGAGATATACTTATCAGAAACAGAGATATACTTATCAGTAACAGAGATATGCTGATTATAATTATGTATACCTTCACTGATTATAAAGTTTTTTTATTCGTTGAGTCGTTATTAATATTTCATAACTAACCTGCATGATTTTATGTTTCAGAGATGTGGTATCGAAACAAAAACTTGAGATGCTCCCCGGAAACGGCACTATAGTATTAGACACAGTCTGGTTGATTAACTTGGCAGTTAAGTCTTCCGTCGAAAGTACGAATAGCGTAAAATCGGCAACTCTACGAATGTACCAAAGTGTAGCGAGGTTAATTAAATTATGTGATGATGTCCTTATCGACGACACGAGCTCGGAGTTAGATAAAGAAAACGTCAACGAAATCGTCCAGCAAGTCGAAGATGCTGTTAAGGTAATTTAAATTATTCTATACCTATTCGTTCCATGCGTTATTAACGCGACGTGTAGATCCTATACATTACTTTTATTTGTTTAAAAGAACACTATAGTATGGAGGATCATCCATCACAATTAATGATGGATCTTCTAAATTGGTAAATGTTTGTTCACTTATCCATTGAGTGAAAATTTCATTGTTCATTCCTCCATGATAATCAACTACTTTAAATTTTGAGCAATATAATAAACTTGCTTCAGTAACAAATCGTTTCGAAGTACCAGCGTGAACAATTATAAGACCTTTAGAATCATATCCTTCTGGTTTACGTCATTTTTAACACTGTTGTCTTGCCAGGAAGTTGTTTTATTTCCCTTTGAATAAATCCATGTTTCATCCAAAAAAAAAACAAGATCACTGGGATCTATTAAGACATTTCATATATTTACGAAGGAACTTACTCTAATAGATGTTTGGCTAATAAACGAAACTTCTTTATCCCCTAATTCATTACTTTTCATTACATTCATTACTAAAGCAACTACTTCCTTGAAGGGAACAGTGGATATGCCATTTTCAATTATTTTGAAAATATTCCTCGATCCTGCTGGTTTAAGACCTTGAACTTTGATTACTTATCTTTCTAAAACTTCTTTTACCTTACGGACATAACGAAATTCTGTCTTTTTCCGAGAACCAGACAAAAATTTCACCAGCAGGAATTTTCCCTTTGTGATGTTTTCTAATGTAGGGTAATTAGCGTAAAAGGATAAGTAGGGTAAAAAGGAAAAGTATTCAACCTCCTCTTCATCTTTGTTAATATCAACATCATTATTGTTGCCATCTAATTCAAATTTTTATTTGCATCATCGTAGACTTCTCAGATGGTTTAGGTGCTGTAAGACTTTGACCTGGTTCAGCCACTCTAAAAGTTTTCCTTTGCGTCTAAAAGATTTTTCAGAGTCGGAATTGTACCTCAAATCTCTCAAAAAGGTAGTAAGGAAGCGTCTAAGCTCGATTTGATCAATAGCTTTTTGTGGTAGCTTTTCCAAAACTTGATTGGAGTGGAATGCTGCAATGACATATGCTTCAGAACCAGAAAGTAAATTTCTTTTTATAGCCCTTTTCTTTCCATCTGGCTTTTTAGGTGGTACTTTATTTATGCTTATAAGTGTTTGCTTTAACAGCTTAGCAATTCATTTTTCGAAATGCTACAGGTTTGGGAAATTTGCGTTTTCCATGATGTTAAAGTTTTCCTCCAGCTTTCTTTTAAGGGCCTGAAGAATGTGACATCCAATGGCTAACAAATATTGATAGAGTTGTATGGCAAGCATGCAAATATATCATGTCTCAGAACATCTGGATTAAAATGAGAGACTAGGTTGTCCCCTATTAAAGCCTTTTTTCCATCGAGTCTCCCAGCATCTGGTAAGAAACAAGTGACAAACCAATCATTGAATGTTGACATATCAATCCAACCATGTGAGGTTCCATTATATCGTGTCCCCAGTAAGCAACATGGCTTTTCACAACATGGGCTGCCCTTGGGACCATTGTCTGTCCAAGTACACCTGAGGCGATCCTGAAAATAGTCTAAAGAAACCTACTCTGCCGTATGTAGTCTTCTTTCTCTTTGTAGTAGAGTCTATTGCCGGAATGTAATTATATTCTTTTATCTTCTGACAGTCCCAATTCATGTTCCACAATTCCTTTTCTAGTTCGTAGAGTTTTTCATACGCGACATACGTTTTTCACGACATACGAGAAGAACCAAGATTGGAAAATAACAACGAAGGGCCAACAATTCTGAAATCTGAAATCATAAATGCAATTAATCATCTCAAAACAAATAAAAGCCCAGGTCCAGACGGAATATACCCAGAAACGCTCAAATTAATCAGCGAAGAAAATATCGAATTATTTGTCCTTTTATTCAATCGCATTTATGATACAGGTAAAATACCTCAAGATTGGCTGGAGTCAATATTCATCCCACTACCAAAAAAGCCAAACCCACAACACTGCAATGAGTTCCGTCTGATAAGCCTTATGAGTCATGCTGTAAAAGTCCTACTAAAAATCGTACATAATCGTATCTATAGAAAGTGCGAAACAATCATCGGAGACGATCAGTTTGGATTCAGAGCCGGCATGGGAACGAGAGAAGCCCTGTTCAGTTTATTAGTTCTCGCCCAAAAATGCTACGACCAACAGAAAGATATATTTATATGCTTTATAGACTTCGAAAAAGCATTTGATAAAGTAAGACACGACCTACTATTAGAACGTTTGCAAGAAGTCGGTTTAGATGGAAAAGACATCAAATTCTTAAAAAACTTGTACTGGAACCAAAAAGCCAGAGTTAGGATCGAAGGTTCCACATCCGCAGAAGTAGAAATTAGGAGAGGAGTTAGACAGGGATGTGTTCTGTCGCCTCTGCTGTTTAATCTTTACTCCGAGTTTCTATTTAAAGAAGCATTGGAGGATTCCAAGGATGGAGTCAAGGTGAATGGCGTAAATATCAACAGTATCAGATACGCCGATGATACAGTGTTAATTGCGGATTCCGACTCAGGTCTACAACGACTCATCGACAAGACCAACTCGACCTGTGAGCAATTTGGTATGAAAATAAACATTAAAAAAACCAAAGTGATGTCAATCCGAAAAAACCAAAACGTACCTCAACCTTGCACAATAAATGGGCACATCTTAGAACAGGTCAATAGATTTAAGTACCTGGGATGTTGGATCGATAGCAGCCTAAATCCTGATCAAGAAATAAGATCGAGAATAGAACAGGCTAGAAAATCCTTCGAAAAAATAAAAAAACTGCTTTGTGATTCTCGAATAAAACTCGAAATTCGACTACGTTTATCAAAATGCTACGTCTGGTCGACTCTTCTATATGCAGTTGAAACGTGGACCCTTAAAACATCAACCGTAAATAAATTGGAGGCCTTTGAAATGTGGATCTACCGGAGAATACTCAAAATTTCATGGACATCGCATACCTCAAACGAAGAAGTGCTGCATAGAATAGGCAAGGAAAGAGAACTTTTTAACACAGTAAAAGTAAGAAAAACATCATACCTAGGCCACATACTGAGAAATAATAAGTACCAATATGCCCAACTTATAGTGAAAGGAAAAATCGAGGGAAAGAGAGGCCTAGGAAGGAAAAGACTATCATGGCTCAGAAACATCCGACAATGGACAGGGCTAAATTTTGAACAGCTAATAAGAACAGCTGAAGATAGAGAAGAGTTTAAAATTGTAGTAGCCAACCTCCATTGAGGAGAGGGCACTTTAAGAAGAAGAAGAAGAGTTTTTCATCTTTTGCCATGAAACGTATGTTGTATGTTGCTATATGGAGTTGTTTGTTGTCCATCTTCTTCTTCAATGTCGACTTTCGCCTTCCCAAAATCCTTGGAGCAGACCGTTATCGTATCGTAAAATCGATATTTTTGTTTTTTGGAGGTTTTGGTCATATCTTACCACGCTGGCCAGACGGTGGATAAATTATTTAAGAGATACAAAATTGTATTATTCAATTTAATGTAATATAGCTCAAATTATTTTGTTTTGTTAAAAAAGAAATATTTTGATCACTTGATTTGCGACTATTATATATTGACTAATGTAATATAGCTCAAATTATTTTGTTTTGTTAAAAAAGAAATATTTTGATCACTTGATTTGCGACTATTACAATACAATTGCTTTTTTATAGGATATAATAAATTTGGTGCGAGAAAAGGTGTCTCATCAACACGTGTCATACAAAACTACCCCTAGATCGTCTTATTGCAATAGTTTAGAAATGCCAGCACAACGAAACTCACTTCCCGACATTCCTTTGACTCCTAGAGAGAGGGAAATTTTAGATAAAAAATCTCTATCACAGAACAAGGTGCGGAATAGTCATAGTACGGAATCTATATTAAGGTAAGATTTGATTTTTTTATAGAAGCAATTAAAAACATTTATATTACAAATCGAGTGACAGAAAAGACAGATGATTGCAAGAAAAGTCTCCCACAGCTGCTTTTCTCTTAACAGCTGTTGTAAATATAAATATTACTGAGTATTTTTACTCGTATTTGTTAATATTTTGCTTTGTGAATAACTTAATAATAACTTCTCCCTCACGGTGTTCAATATTGGTACACTATTTATTTATTACTTGTACAATTGTTATTAAATTCTATAAAATACAACTTAAGACTAACTCTTCATAACAATAACCAGTTTTTATTTAGCTACTGAATAATATTCGAAACAATTCAGGTAAACAATCGAAAAATCTAGAAGTAACCCCCCAAATCCAGTTAAAAGTCCCGCTGAAGGAGTTATAGATTATTCCAGTGAAATGGCGTCGTCGAATGATACACGCCGAAATTACACGTCGTTGATCAAGACCTCTTTAATAGTCACACAGATCCGGCTTCGTCACATACATTGTAAAAGTTCTCCACAAATAATCCCCCCTCCATCAAGAGCGGATCTAGTACCGATTTTCGGTGGGACATGAACTTTTTTTGGGGGGTCAGGGGGAAATTTTTTTAAAAATTTGGGTTTAGGGCACTTTTCACACAATTCTGTGCCATAAAGACATTTTTATTTGTCTAGCAACGAAACATCAACAAAAAAATTAAATTAATACTAACCAAAACAAGGACAAAGAATGCAATCTTACTCAAACTTTCTTTGCAGTTAGATCTTTCAAAGTTTATATGACATTGAAGTTGGCGCCGTTTTAAGTAACCACGACCGACGTGAATGTACCAATCTTATACTTGTTTGCGTTTAATAGTAACCTTTAATTACAATTGCAGGGACCCCAGTCCGCCGCCAAAGCCACCTTTACCGGAAACCCTTCGTAAGTCTGAACCCAATAACTGTACCACGCCTCCACCCCTCCCGCCAAAGAAAAAGCATTTGAAGATGCAGCAGCTCATGGACGAATGTATGTTCGTTGATCATTCGCCTTCTTCTAATAGTTTTGAAAGGTAAGATTCTTATTCATTTATCACTATCATGACAACGTAATAACAAGTTCTTTCTCTCGTTTTTTTACGTATTTCTGGCACCAAGACACAAGACGAGGAGATTTGCTATTATAGACGACCACTAAACGTCCCGTCTGCGAAGCTCAATGCAACAACGAAGGAACTTGTGCGGTGGGGAGAGACCTACGCGATTGCAATCGAGTCTGCCACTTCGAGCGTCGGCCCATGTGCGGACGGCCTAATATTTTATGTTGTATATGTCACAAGCACATTTTTAAAACCTATTTTTTTTATTTCTGCCCCAGTTGTAAGCTAAATTAAATTTTGTAGGTATTTGTTCTTAGGCTTTTCTGAGAAAGAAAAAAATGCCTTTTATTTTTGTTTAATAAGGTTTAATTTACATTATTAACATAATTTTTTTATATCGTTTTAGATGATTAAATTGATTTACTCGTATAAATAAATTATTTCATGGCCTACTCAAATTACGAATTTTTTCGACGGCTGTATACAATAAACACTTTTTATTAAAAACAGCTCACCTTAACCTATATCATAGAAACCGATTGGAAATCAATCTTATTTAATTTTTCAGAATATCATTGCGGTCTAAGTCTCCGGACGATTCCATTTCAATTTTATCGGAAAGCGCTGGAAGTATAGACTCTATGTTAAATCATTCGTCTCGAGACGAAGATGAAATCAAAGATCTTATGGACCGAGACGAAATGTTTTTTGAAAATCATTCCTCGGACATATTTGGTAAGTTGTCCAGTGAATATATATAAAATATAATAATATAATAGCAAACATTTTGCAGTGATTATTGGCTTGATGAAGTACTTTTTTCATCTTGTATGTTGGTCTTTAAGCAATTACAGTATGTTTCACTTAATAATTTTCTTTAACCTTTAGGATGTTATTATAGTTTATGAAAATAGCTTCTTGTGCAAATTTCAAACTCATAAGAAGTTCTTTTGAACTCAGTTAATCGATTTCAACTTAGAGAATTTCATTTTCTTTGTCGTTAAGTTGTTACAAAAAACAATTAAATTCCCGATACAAATTTTCGAGAACTGAACTAGTACGAACAAAATTTCGATATTTATAACATTTATAACTAACAACCAAAACCAAACCAGTTGCCAAAATCACTTAAAGCGACTCTCATTCGAAAGTGTTTTTCGTTAGCTTTAAATTAAAACATTAAGAATTAAAATATATTAAATATATATGGAGACGTTCATATATATCGAATATCGCGGTTTTAGACAATTTCTCCCCTGCGGAAAAAATCTTTTGAGCATTAAGTGCCCCAAAAATTGATGATTTTAGCATCTGTCCACCTTTTTTTACTGCCTAAAAAATTGTAAAAACTGTTAGTTCTAAAGAGACTCAACGACCTCATTTCTTTGGATTTTTTTTAAATAATTTATCATGGCTGCTCAGTAAAGTGAAGATATGTGAGAGTGTTCTTTCCTGACCGCACTAAGCGATAAGCCTAGGACGCCACTGAGCTAAAGATTTGCATGTTTTAAATTCACAAACCAGAATAAAAAGAATCGATAAGTGTTTTTTTGTAATTAAATGTGAACAGGAAGGTTTTACTAGACATTCTAACATAATGCCCCACGTTGGGCGCCACGTGTTACTCTATCTCATCAGGATATCCTATTTGCTAACAAACAACTTACTTTATTGTTACTTACGACATCGAGTTATTTTGCGAGTTTTACAAACGAATTTCTTTCAGGTGCTAATGGTTCTAATTCATGGGAGGAATCATCTTTGAGTTCTAGTCTATCCAATCACAACAGTAACGGCGATCATCTTACATCAGTCAACGATTATCATCGGCTATCCAACACGGACTCTGGCATCGTCTCAATACGATCTTCTAGCTATTCGAGAAGTTCTCAAATGAGTTCGAGCAGCTCGCAGTATACTCAGGTCTCAAAGCAGTCCAGTACGCAAAATAAAAGTGTTAAAACCGAGACGACGGTGCAGAAAAGTATGAAGATTCAAGAGAGTCAGGTGAGTAATTTATCATTATTTAATAATTAATTCAGCAATCATTATTCAAGAGAATATAAATTGGAAATCTAATTCAGGAGCGGCCCAAATCTGTGTTTTCTAACGTTGCGAAATGCACAAATGTATAAATATATGAAAATGTTTTGCTAATTCTATTTATGTGTATATAAACTAAATAACAAGTTGTATTAAAAAAATGGAACAAAAAAAAAGTAATGCAAAGATAGCATAGCAGCTTCGCTTAAATATATATTTAAAGGAATATTATAGATTATTATAAACATTTAATATCTTTGCAAATTAAGACATTTTGCAGGAATTTTAATAAAACGAAAATATATTTTAATAAGTGCCACTACAAACCGAGAAAACTCAAAAGTATTTTAGTTGTTACCTGCAATTAAATGTGTAATAGGAGAATGTTACTGCACATTATAATACAACGCTCCATGAGGGGGGCCAATGTTAAAGATATCAAATTAGAAATGCGCAAGAGCATGGAGGAAATACATGCGCAGGAGATAAACTGAACTAAAGGTAGGTAGTCGATGGGCGTATCTCAAGGAATAAAAATAGAATTTCAAAGCAAATAATTAGGTATGTAATTCAGTTAGTTCTAAAAACATCCTGTATCATATTCACAGGTAGTAGAGTAGCCACTGGGGATTTACCACGGTTGCTCTTGAAATGGAAGAAATATGTCCGTGATCTTAGAATAATATGGGCGCTCAAAACTTGCAGAACACAAATAACGAACGATAAGCCTATGTCGCCACAACGGGGGATTAGCATCTGTTACACTCAGGAACCAAAATGAAAAGAGTCGATAAGTGGACTCCACTTTCATCAATAAAAATGATAAAAAAATTAAAATTTTTGGTTATGTTCTGCAATTAAATGTATAGTAGGAGAGTATTGTAATAACTCCCCACGTTTGGCGCCAATTTTAAGGCTGACCTTGTTGCCAATGTTATAAGATATCAAATTACAATTGCACAGGAGAATCAATATGGAAGAAATACATGAACAGGATATAAAATTAACTAAATGCAGTCCGCAGGCGTAGCTCAAGGAATCAAAATAGGATTTCAAAGAAAATAATTAGGTAATTCAGTAAGTTATTAAAATATCTGTAAGAATATGTTCTTAGAGGATAAAATTTCTAACACCATAGTTAATACGAACACCATTGGAGTAGTCATGTTCCTCGATCACCTCTTTTTTCGACGCCAAAAGTCAAAATAAGACTACCATCATCTTTATATCTCTCCCAAAATCGTTAAAGTCTCTGGATAATATGAATTTTTACTTAAAACTCGAAACACGAATAGATATTATTCAGTGCCCAGTAATCTACATTTCCAACCCCAGTAATGCGTTTCGCACTGTCTCTCCTAGATGCAGAACAGCACTGAATGTTAAGCAACAGTAAGGAACGACATTGTGACGTAATCGAGTTTGACTTTTCAGCCACAAAATTAAACTCTTCACGTAATATATTGTTTTTATCAATAATTAAGTAAAATGTACTTCTACAACAAGAGCAACAACTTGCTCTTTTAAATGACATGCGTTTACGGCGATAAGATTGAAGTAATAGAGATGTTTCTACTAGAGGTGTGCTTATTAGTTCTTTTAAACGAACTAGTTCAGGAGAACTATTTCAAAATAATGAGTTCAGTGAACTAGTTCGCAAAAGAACTATTTGTAGGACCGAACTCGAAATCCAACCCCAACATAAATGGTTGCCAGATGTTTCGTATCAATCATCACACAAGCTCGGCGCCGGCCGCCCGTTTTCTTCGGTTTTCAGTCACTCAGTTAGTCTTTCACTACCGTACAAGTAGTTCGAATTCGAAACCATTTCTTTTGATCGTATGTTTAGGTTTAAATGTTTTAAATTATCGTATGATTAGTTAGGTTTTCTTTATAAATCTTCTTTATATTTTTATTAACTGTTTTAAATATAAATATGGTTCACGTATGATTTATTTTTATATTTACGTATTTTTAAACTCATAGGTATCTATAATTAGGTTATTTCTAAAAGAACCTTTACAAAAAAAATCAGTGAATTTTCTAGGAACATTAAATAACACATCTTCATTCTCACTTTTACATAAAATTATATTTTATGTAAATGCATCAGTCATTTTAACCACAACTAAAAATTTTTATTTCAAAATTAGAATACAGGAAACAACACAACATGGCAACGTCTAAGTCAATACATGGGCACAAGATCCGAACCAATCCGAACCATTATGATATTAAGATAAGACCATATGTTATTGTCACATTCATAAGAATTATTATCTGTTTTCTGTGGCTTCTCCTTTAGAAGTTGAGACACAATTTATAATGCAAATCGTTAGCAGTAAACTAGTTCTATGAAAATTAATGAACTAGTTCAATTAGTTCAGTTGAAATAAACGTTCATTTGAACTATTTCGATTGTGAACTACATATCCCTAGGTTCTACACAACATGAGCTAAATTTTATTAAAGAAATCTTGCTTTTTTAATTCCAAAGTCCATTGCTTTGTATTTGATATTCTTGTTCGATTCTCTAAAATGTTATAGGTGATAGGTATAAACATAGCTTATATTTGAATTCAGCACATTACATAAGATACAAAAAAAGGTGTTAAAGAGCTACAAAATTTTTCAAAATCCTGACTAGTGTTATATATGTTTGATTTTAGGCATCTATTGTACGCTTAGATAAAGTTTATATTTATCGTTACAACAATTTATTGCAATTCCAGTTAAAGAGCATGAGCCACACAGTGAGTACCAGTACCAGTAATACTATGTTAAGTAACAGCGCGAGTAGGGACGTTGTGGACTTCGCTGACGTAGATATACCACCGGCGTTGCCCCAGAAGACGAAGAAAAAGACTGAAAGGCATCCGTCACCGTACGATAACGTACCTGAGGAGAAAATAGGTAAGGTTTGCTACTGTAATGTTAAAGTCAAACGCGCGGTTATATTATTTACACTTTTATTTAGAAAGAATAATCTATTTGTACAATAGCTTATTTAAATCCCACTCCAGCTTCATTTTTTTCAAGGTTCACTCCATATATTACGAAAAACTTAGTTGTATACTGCATCCTTAGCCTAATTATCGAGTTTTCTATTACGCTATATATCTCCATGGTCTTTGTTTTTATACAGTTGTGGTTCTACTGTAACGTTATAAATGTTACCCCACGTTGGGCCCCAAATGTGGAACAGGACAAGTTATAGGCACGTCTTGACTTAATATAAAATACACACCGAGGAAATCAGGTGGGATGAATATAAAAGAGAATTAATTTACATTAGTTAGTGATGTACATAAAGCAATTAAAACTTACGTGTTTATAAAAATTTAAAATCAAAATAAAAGTTTTCCATAAATAATTAACCAAATAAATAAATACAGCGTCTTGTGATGATTACTTATCTTCCTTAATATGTTGGTGAGGAAAGTTGCTTGCTGTAACTGCTATTTTTACATGGAAACGCTGATCTATTCTTCTTACATATTATTCGTAATATTGATGGGCCTATTGATGAATCTGATGGAACTGCTGTGGAATAAACTTGATATATCTCTATATGTGGTTTTGAAACTTCGTGGCATTTTTATGTCATTGATTATATTTAAGAGGAATTTAATTGAAAGTACATTTCTTTTGAATTAAAATTATGTTTTTTTTCTTATTTAGGTGAATTGTTAATAACCTGCGAGAGGCATCAATCCCACCAGAGTTTATCCAGTTGTACGAGCAGTACAAATAATTGGGATCAAGATGCCAAACCTCCACCTTTACCTCCAAAGAAAAAACACAGTGAGTATTTACTCGTTATATTGTTCAAATGATTTCCTTAAATCTATTGGGTATAAGCTAGTTATTGGTGCTTAGTTTAACAAATTAAGTATTCGTATAGAAGTCTGTTCTAGAAGGTAATTCAGTTCATAATAGATAGAACCAGGATGCAGACAGTGTTTGTAGATTGAGAACGTAGGAGATTTGATACGTTCTCTAACGAATTACTGAGGAAGCTCCAAAATTGTCTCTCATCTTCCACAGGCTAAGACATTAGACTAAAAAGGCATAAACTTTGTTATAGAAATAAAACTGGATTAATTGTCAACTGGATTAATAATAAAAGATTGTCAACAAACCAGTTTTCGTTAGATTTAGAACACCAAAAAATTTTCATCAATGTGTGGTTGTCTAAAATCGATCAGATTAAAGGATCACTACAATGTCGAAGCATGGACATTAAAAATATCCACCATTAATCGTCTGGAGGCCTTTGAAATGTGGCTGCACAGACGTATACTAAAAATTCCATGGACGGCTATGCTGACAAATGTTGCAGTCCTTGAGAGAGCAAATGCTGCTCGCGAGCTGCTTGATAACATCAAATGTAGAAAGATGGCCTATTTTGGACACATAGTAAGGGGAGACCGATATAATATTCTTCAACTTATTATGATGGGTAAAATCGAAGGACGCAGAGGAATTGGTAGAAATCAGGCCTCTTGGTTGAAGAATATCAGGGAGTGGACAGGAATAAAGAAAGCTGAGCAACTATTTAGAATACCTCGAGACAGAGACAGACTTATAGGGCACGTTAAGAAGAAGAAAAGTTCGGATCGTGTACGAATTTTGATAATATCTTTATTGAAGATAAGAAGCTCTCTTAGTTAAAGTTCATCCTTAGTGGTAAACCGAAGACAGACTCGGAAAGAAAAAATCAGAATATGGTAGGACGATGGGTTCAGAAAATGGGCCAACAGTAAAGGACAATAAAAACTCATAAAATACAGCTTTTTAAAGAGATATATGATTGATAGCTGATAACAAATATGATAAAGATGTACAGCTTGATATAAAACGTTTCTTATATATTTTAGAGAAAAATAATTCAAATAAAAGTTGTAAATTTTTGTCTAAATTAAAATACATAAACAATTGACCGAGATAACTGCAAAAAAAGTATTTCTGCAGTAATTTGTGAATGTTAAAAACCGTTTGTTGAAAAAAATTAATATTTTTTCTGAATAATGCAGGGGCGTGCGGTGTATGGAAGCAAGGGAAGCATTGTTTCCCTAGGTTTCCCTAGTAATAGCGAGAATATTTAACAAAAACTAATTTAAACCAACACACATATAAGCAGCCTTTTAAGGAAGGCTTTTTCGACGAAGACCGACGAAATACTTCGAATAGCGACCAACTTCAAGAAAGCAGACAATTTTTTGAAAAAATGAGTTTTGATGTACACAAAGATATAGGAATTTTATAAATGAATATATTGAAAACCAAAAAAAATCTTTAAGTCCATTAATCAACCGTATTGTTAGAAGCTATGATTTCTAGAAGATATTTATATATTTGTTAACATTTTTAGTAGTTGTAAAAGCTAGATAAGTAATTTTAATGCTATAAAATTTCTCCCTAGTGTTCCAATCAGTGGCTTACTCGGGTAAGTAGGCCGCAGAACTTGTTTGAGGTTTTTTGTTCAGTTTATTCTGACTTTTTTTTTATTTTTGTGATATTCAAAAATCACCTGGAAATATGTCACAAACGAAATATTAAAATACAATGCGTTAATTTTAAGATTAGGCATAACACATTACAATTAGAATGTTATCAGTGCAAGCTGGAATTTTGGATTAAATTTTTACGTTGAGGTTACCGAAAGTACAAGCTGAATATAGCCGCAAATGTCAAAAATATTTCGGTTTGGCAGTGTTGGCATGTTTTTAGAATGCATATGTGTTGTATGCTTCAAATATAAAGAGATAAAGCTTTTAAAAAGTACATTTTGATGTACTATTTTATGAATTCTGCAATTTTTAATTTATATGAAGCAATAACGAGTAGATGTTTGTCTCTCTCGAGATTAATTGCAATCTGTTGTAATCTGGCAACTGCTGATTTGACGATTGCCAAATCTATACCCTAATCTATAAAAGAGTAATCGCTAAAAAAATGTCTTACAATTAACTGCAATTAATCTCCAAAGAAACAAATATTTACTCATTGTTGATTTATATAAATAAAAAATTGCAGAATTCGTAACATAATATAAACAAAATGTACTTTTCTAAAGCTTTATCTTTTTATATTTGAAGCATACAGCATCTACATTATTATAACATGTCGACACTGCTATACCGAAATTTTTTGTTCCATGTTTGACATTTGCGGCTATAATCAGCTTGTACTTTCGGTAAACTCAACCAATTTTTAGCATCTTAAGGTGGGCATACGTATTAATTTTTTAATGATTATTTTACATTAGGTGTTTTAAATAATACCAGGGTAAAAAAAAATTATTTTACAGAACAATCTGTTTCCTAATGTTTATTAAGTAAAAGCATCAACTGGTGAAATCAAATTACCTTCACCCAGAAGCACAAAAATCTTTCTTTAACACTTTGACTCTTATGTGTACCATACATAATACACACCAGGGACTCTCCCTGAGCCTATTTGTATGAATTTGATACACGAGAGTAGAACGCATTCAAGCTACGGTGTATGTGGTCCGATACCTTTCTTTACACGAACTTGAGCATCTGTTTAACGTGAGCATAAACAGTTTAATTTGCAAATAAGTGAAAATGAATCTGAAACTAAAGATCTAAATAATATAGATATGGTTAATCCGTATATAGGAAATTTACAGGCAAATGTTATATGGGATAACGTTAATGGAAATTTGAATACATTCGACGTTATATATGAAAATACTTCTTTTGGTACAGTTGTAGAAAGTAGGGAAAATGATACACCTTTAACATTTTATAGACTGCTCCTAACAGACGAGATACTCGATATTTTATTGTAGGAAAGAAATCAATATGCCGAACAAAAAATTATTGATACTATAAATCGTGAAAACGTAAAGACAAATTCATATCTTATTAACTGGAATGATACTAACATAGAAGAAATATTAAAATTTTTGAGAATGTTGATATGGATGGGTTTGAATCCAAAACCACGACTGCAAGATTACTAGAGCACTAATTTTATCCATCATTGCTCAATATACAAGAATACAAACATGTCGGGGTGTAGATTTGAGGCTCTTCTTGCTTGCTTCCATTTTTCAGATAATGAAGCTTGTCCTGAAGGAAGAATATTGTTCAAAGTTGAACCATTGTTGCAGGCGTTCAATAGAAGTTTTCAATCTGCTTTGGTACCAGGCAAATACGTTTGCATTGATGAATCGATGATTCTCTTTAGATAACGTTTGTCATTTTTACATTACATACCTGGCAAACCTAATAAATATGGCGTAAAAGTTTTCAAACTCTGCGGAAAAGGCGGCTTCACATATCACGCAAAAATTTATGTCGGAATGCAAAAAAGACCAAAGGAACAATCACTAGCATCATCACTAGTGGTCATGGAATTAATGCAACCTTTTCTACACTCAGGAAGAACTTTGGTTACGGACAATTTTTACACTAGTGTCAGTTTGGCACACGAACTAAATGATAACAATATTCATTTAATTGGAACACTTCGTAAAAATAGGAAATACTATCCTAAGTCGGTGTTTGAGAAGCAAAACTAAATAAAGGAGATATGATGGCACTACAGAGCAACACAAAAGTTATTGTAACTTTTGTGTTGCTCATGTAGAAAGTAAGATGTAAGAGGTAACATTTTTGACTACAAAATATTATCCAGAAATGGTCGACGTTCATACAAAATCAGGAATAAAAAGAAAACCGTCTACGATAGTAGAATATAATTCTGTTTTAAATCTTACATTGACATCTCTGATCAAAAAGCTTCCTACACTAATCCCATCAGACGTTCTATAAAATGGTATCGGAAAGTGGGAATATAGTTATTGACAAATACAGCCGTAGTGAATGCTTTAATTCTGTACAACAAAGCTTTGAACAAAAAAATGGGCGTAACACAATTTTGCGAAGAATTAGTGACTGTCATTTGCAAAGACAATAATGTTATAAAACTTCAACAAATACACCATAAGCTGGAAGAATATGACAAAAGAGGACGATGTGTTATATGTTACAGCACACTGAGAAAATCCTTTGGTTGCGCACATGCATCTAAGAATTCCACACAGTACAACACTAGGTGTACTGGTACTGAATCTAGAGATAAAAAATTAATTTGTAACATTTGTTTTTTTTTTAAATACATAATGTATATTTACAATAATTTGTTTAGATGTTTGCTTATGTTTTTTCTTAAAAGTTTAGTAAATAATGTGTATCAATTTCAATACATATAAGCTATGGGTAATGACATTATGAAAAGTCGTCTATGTGAACTGCGTGTATCAAAAATAAACACACCCTACAAAGCCGTGATTAAATAAAAAAAATTCATTATATGAATTAACACATACATATAGAACATTTTATTAAAGAACTTTAAAAAAAAAGTGACAACTCATTCGGATAAATAGGCCCAGGAGTTAAAGTGTTAATAATTAATATCAAACCACCCTGGCATAGTTCAAATATTACTATCATAGTATTTAGTGCTAAATTTCACTACTACGTTTTTATATTATTCAACCTCTAAACATGGTAAATATTTGCTAATTATAAAAAGATAAGAAGCACCATTTATAAAAACTTTCCAGGTCATTTATTGGATCATTTATTTTTTGATTAATTGTATATTTTTATGTTATTTGTTTTGTTTTTCTGAATAACTCTTTAAAAAATAATAAACGAAACCCAACGCACATCTTTTAAGTTGCTGATAATGATAATTATGAAGTTTTATCAACTTTGAATTTTTTTTACTCTTTAACACGCAAATGTGTATTCATAAATGTATCTTTATACTAACATACAACATACATTTCGACGACAATGTAGTACTGTTTGCTTTTACGATGAAGGTATTACTTTGCGGATTTTGCACCTTAAAGGGGTACTTTTTGCAAATAAAAAACAGATTATTCGGGTACATCGTGACGAACATTTTGGATAATATAAACAGACAAATGATTGCCGTCAATTTACAAGGTAAATAATTAATTATGTTGTAATCTAGAACACAAGGTTTATTTTCATATGCTTACATCAACTTTTACAAGGTAAAATGACATATATAGCTTGTTTTCTCTTTTCTGTAGTTTTCTATTTTTTGTTTTTCCTTGCGAATGTTTACCTTCTTTATATCCATGTCCACTTCATCTCTTCATTGACTTACATCACTATCTCTTTTTTGACCCTCCTTTTTTCTTCAATTTTGCTGGTTAAAATTATTTATGCGTTCTATCTTAACTGTAAATTCTCACCACATCTCCAACCATCGTAATCGTTGCTCTTTTGCTATCCCCTTTGTACTGTTTTCTTTGTTGCTCGTTCCCATTGGTTTTGCAACTGTTTACACATATTTTATATTTTCTTCTGCTTGGTTTTCTTCGATTTTATGTGAGATTATCATCATCATCATCTTTGCTGGAAGTAATCCAGATTACTTCCACGTCTTCTAGATTTTAAAAAAGAACTAATTTTGTTTCTAGCTTCTAAGATAATCCGAGTACGTTCCATATTCCTAGATTTATTATCCGTTTCCTTTTATCGTTCATCTTCGATTTTTTTGTCCTGATCCGTTTATTGATTGTTTTGACAATGGTTCTTTTTGCGAGAACATTTCGGGGCCTATTCCTCAACCTTCCTTCATTGTCTTATAGACTGTGGAATTTACATGGTACTGAATTCACTTATTAATAACCCCAGGTGGAGTTCCAACTATTATATAATCTAGGTAGGTATATCCTATTTGGCATTCTTACTTATATTTACCAAAGGGTTCAGTGGATAACTTGAATGATTCAACACAAAACATTTATGAATACATCAAAGCTTATTTACAATTTGTTTGATTCATCTACCATTCAAAACCTATACAGATATTGTCAAAAATTTATTTTGTTTAGTAATGGCCTACATGGAAATGTTCGGAAATTGCTCCCACACCAACGATCAGGAATTCATGAGGCATTCGGTACACATGGTCCAATATACGCAACCGATGGTAGGAGGTTTACCGACGACTCAGTCGTGCACGTTCAGCCAATCGCACGCGTCGAATCGGACATCACATAGCCATATTCAGACGTTAAGTTTACCGCCTAGATCTGATGACAGGTAAGTACATCGATATTGTTTTCCTTAATTGGTGTATCAAGAAGAAGAAGAAGAAAAAAACGGGATATGACACTCTGGGAGTGACTGAGGATAGAAAGCATAACTTTCTTATCGTCTGCGCACGGAGCGAGAGTTTTTAATGTAATCTATTTTATTTAATATTTATTTTATTTTAATTTATTTTATTAAGAAATACGCATCTGACACCACGTATTGTGTGGTCTCGCGATCTGTTGTTACAGTCTGGCGTTTCAGTCGTTTTTTTTATCATAGTGTAGCCTGCGTTAAGAAACCTATGCCTCTAAAGGTGCTTTGTTAAGGAGTTTTCAAATTGTTGTTATTTCGTACATATTTTCACATTTTTTTTTGCAGGTCTCCCTCGCCACTTCATTCACCAAACTCAATCACTTCTACTTCAAATACCTCATCGCTGCCACCTGCGTTACCTCCAAAACAGCGACGTAGACATTCGAACAGATCACCACCCCCAACGCCGTCATCGATTTCGGAATCCAAAATTCCATCAGTGGGTATCAAAGTATTACCAGATCTTCTGGAACACACGACTAAGAGCGAGGAGAAATCTTCAGAGAGCAGTACTCCTTCTTGTGAAGAGGATCTGCTGGAGCTATTAAATGTGGATCAGTATTTGGTATGGAAGAAGGAGGACGAAGAAGGTCCAGATATTAGGGGAGGACCGATTGATGCTCTTATTATACAAGCCACTAAAGCGACCAAAAATGGAGGTGAGTCATTTCCACACTACTATAATATATTTTTCTTTTTGATTAATTGTTGTCTCTAGGCCAGGAAAAAGCTAAAACAAACCAGTTTTGGTAGGTTTGGTGCTTTTTAGCGCTTCATTCCTAGCCTACTCTCTGCGTCTAAATATATTTTAACTTTAGCCACAGCCACCTTTATTTCCAAGCCATGAAGTAAAAAAGGCAACACCGCATTCTATGACGTCGGTAGTCCGATAATCAGCTGTAAGGTCTACCAGAAAATTAAACTAATTTGAATTTTAGGAAACTGATATTTTGAAAACTTCAATTCATTACAGAAATATTTTTAGGGAAATTAAATTAATAAATCCCTATATATACCTAATAAATATATATAAAATTTTATTATTATTAAGGTTATATTATCAATAAAATAATCATTAGAGTAAAATTTATTGCACTTAAAAAACAGTGTCAAACAGTTAATCTTACAATCAAATGCAGTCAAGAATCTCTAGAAATTTTAAATATTAAGTACTTAAGCATATAAATAATACAATACATTAACACGACATTTAAAAAGATTATTAAAAATACAAAAGATATAAAATTTGTGCTTAGTGTAACTATTATGATTAAAAAATTCATCCTAAGAAATCAGACACAATATAAATATGGTTCTAAATTAATCTAATTGAAAATTAAATATTTTACTATTTATTTATAACTTTTGTTGAATTTTCATACTTAGATATACAAAAGTAGCAATTTTAAATATGAATAGGTTTGTTGTCATATAGACCAAGTTAAAAGAGGTATACATGAAAAATGTGTTGAATGTAACATACCATTTATAACGTGTATATCGATTTAAAATAGCCTATATTCCCAAAAGATTTTTTAATGTAATATTCAAATTTGTTATCACTTATCTAAAAAGCAGATCTAAATGAGAAAGTAAGTTCTCTAATTGTGACCATCTTGTTAATTTACTATATTGTAAAATCCATTTCAAATCATTACCACTTAATCTATTCTTACCTACATTGACGATTACACTAAAATTACTGCTAACTATTACACTACACATTACACAAATATTATCACACTTGTGTCCCAACTGATTAATGTTTAATACATAGAAATATACACAGTCACTTGTAATTTTACTTGTCCAGTTTTTCAAAGGGATATTATTGTCTAAGTCTAATTGACATAATTATGTTATCTCTTGTTCACTCTTCTTATGCAAAAAGTTTCTTCTGTCTTCGGGATTCCTTCTTTCTTTAGTACGATGAACAGTTACATATGATGGTACTTCAGGAAATATATTAGGAACTGCATTGCCTTTTAATTTGGGAAATATTAACTTTTCAATGTGTACATTTCCATCTTTATCTTCTCATTGTTCAGTCCGCTGAATATCATCTTCATGAAAATTTTTGGCACATCCTACGGAAGATTTGGTAATTGTACAGCCTTCTCTATGAATAGAGCATAACCCAGTATACCTTCTTTGGGGATCTTTGGGAAACAAAAACGTACTTTCTGCCTGTTTCGTTTTAAAGTACTGGCATAATTGGTTTTGCAACCAGGTACACAACAATGCCAGAGCATCTGTAACAAAAAACAAAAGTATTATTATTGTTGTTTTTAGTTTACATATTTTGTAACAAAAGCAAAAGTATTATTATTTTCAGTTTGTTTTGTAGGTTATATTTATACTTGCCTTTTAAATTGTCGTTAAGAATCTTCTATAAGTTCTAAATTTAATGAAATTTCACTTATATTAATATTTTCTAATTGATTTAAACACAATTTACAAATAAAACATTCGAATAAAGTTAAAAAAACACTAAATTCAACAAACTTTACAAGCCTTCCTATATGAAATGTTAAACCAAAGCAAACCACAGTCGGACTACCACGCGTTGTTGCCAAATTTCTACTTCATGGCTTGTAAGTAAAGGTGGCTGTGCTTTAGCTCATACCATGCGATGATCAATGCCTATTAAGACAGTCATATCTTGGATTATTTCTCTTCTATAAATTATATAAGCGATTTGGTTTCTTGTTTTTTGTGTCCATATCCATCCATTTGCTGATACTTGTGGAAGCTGTTCATATTGAATAGGTTGTTCTAAAAACGAAAACCAACTAGGTTATCTTCTCTTTCATTGTGTTGGTTTGACCCGAGTTGTCCTATTGGTGTTTTGTGTTTGCTTTTTGTATTGTTTGTATTTTTTTACTCACTATAAACATATACTTACGTGAATCTATTAAATATTATCAAAGTAATTGAGTTTAGTCTCGTAGTCGACAATTTGATTTTGTGTTAACTCGAATTAAAAAAGTGGAAAGTAGCTGTTTACATCTTAAATATTACTCAGTTTTAAATTGAAAGAACTCTATTGGGATAACCCGTACTCGTACCCCCTCCACATTGCCAAAGGGTCATGTCTGCCGCCGAAGCCTACTCTGTTGCCGTTTACAAAGCTATATAGTATAAGTCTTCGATTTCTTCTTCAAAATGGGATGAGATTGCTAAGCACACTTTGATTATCTTTATGTTATATATTTTATTGAAGTTCATCATTAAATATATAGAACCAAAGGAAATTTCGTTTAAGGAAATAACAATATGTTTATAAATCTGCGTTTCCTATATTGTAGAAGACCTGGGTTGAGGGTCTTTAGGCTTACAGTTGTTCTTTCAGCTAGTGACACCTTATACCCTCTAGGGGGCGTCGGTGATGCTTAAAAATAATCATAAAATCTTATTGTGTAGAAATGACTAATATTTCATTTTCATAACTTCCTCTATCGGCATTTCTTTCAAATTTCTCTATATTTATTAATATTGTATTTGTAAATATTTTACTTAAACAATTTTTTTGCATTTTTATTTTGAAATTAATTGGTTTTATTTTTCTAAAATGCAGAAGAAAAGGAGAATGGTATGTAGGTCTGAAAGTTATACTTTCAATACTTCTATTTTCCGAAACTGTACACAAAATTTAGAAAAAATAAGTTAATTCACCTACCTACACTGTTCTCAACTCACTTTTAGATCTTTTAGACCTCTATTAGTGTTTTCTTCTCTGTCGTTCCTTACAAAAAAGTAAAAAGGAGTTTTGGTTGCAAAAAATTTAAAAATATTACAATTATTTAGTTTGAATAAGTTGTATTAAACGCTTTAAAAATTCCTTTTTATTCTTCATATTAAATCTGTTCTCTTCTTTTCTTAGTTGCATTAGCGAAAATCATAAATAAGTGTACCTAAAACTAAATTGGAACGATATTGTGACAAACTGCTTCTAGGAATCATATTTTAATCTTAATAAACCTATTTTAAAATTGTAGAACTTTAATAAACTTAGAAAAGAGAACATTAGATAATATATATAAGATCACATTAACAATTTATGCGAAAAGTTAATTTAATATAACATAATAATAAAAGTTGTGATATATATTGGGGTGATCTTCTATATCGGTCTTATTATTGATACAATTTTGATCTTGTTTTATGTGAATCATCTCCAATATAAAGGTTGTTTTTTTGGTATAGAATTTTGACATGCAATAAAACAAAGATGATTTGTTTTGGCATTATAATTTAAATAGCATTACTGGCATATGACCATCATGGCAGGCTCTGACGTAGTCTAATCCAAAGGTCCAATTTTCGATCACTTTTTCCAATATTTGTCGCCGTATATTGGCAATAACGCGTCGAATGTTGTCCTCCAAGTGATCAATCGCTTCATGCTTATCGGCGTAGGCTAGAACCTTCACATATCTTCACATAAAATAGTCTAGCAGTGTTAAATCGGACGATCTAGGAGGCCAATTCACGGTTCGAAACTGAAACTATGCGGTTAACAAACGTTTTCTTCAATAAATCAATTGTGACACTAGCTGTGCGATATGTTGCGCCGTCTTATTGAAATGACAGCTCCTGCACATCATGGTTGTTCAATTGGGGAATGAAAAAGTCAGTAATCATGGCTCTATAGCGGTCACCATTGACTATAACGTTCTGGCCAGCATTAGTGACATTACTAATATTATTGCTAGGTATAATTTGCGTTTATTTTGGATTATTATAGGAATTAGATTGATCTTTGCTCCAATGCAACTTTTTTTTAATTAGACGCTAGGAAAATACTTGTGGATAATTATTTTTGTTCCAAAATATCTTTAACTTATTTCAGATTTTCAGAATGGTAATGTGGGCTAGACACCTTAATTGCTCTGTCAGACTGAATTCAACATTTCTTTTATGAGTTATAGGTAATAAAATTAAAATATCTACCAGGCCAAAGTCTAGAACAACAATACTGGTTTACAAAAAATGGAAAGTTACAAGAGATGTTCCGGAATATATCTAAATTTGAATACCAACGCGCCTATAACTCATGAAAGAAGTGTTTTATTAAGTCTTACTGACAGAGCAATTAAGTTATCTAGCCCACATTCCGAAAATCTGAAAAATAAACACTACAGCCTTAGCTAAACGTTTTCTAGAAAAGCCATTCTTTTGATTTTGAAAATGTATAGATTTTGAAAAAAACAACAGAGCTAAAACAAAATATGTATATTGGAGATGATTCACATAAAAAAGATGAAAATTATATCAATAATAAGACCAATATAAAAGATATCTCCAATATTTACGATAACATATAAATTGTATTAAGTAATGTTTATATAATTAAAGTGCTTATTGAAAATGGCAAAGATAGTCCAACACTTTTTTCCAATTCTGTTTCTATCTAAAAATTCACGGTCAGGAAATAACAAACAATACATATAAACACCTAAACTGATCATTTTGTAAGTATATAGGTATACTCATTTGGGATTCTCGCTAAAATAATCTATAGACTGCATTACATCAATTAAAACGACTTTATCTGTTAATTCTTTTAGTATTCATGTACCAAGAGGCATTTCTAACTACCTACAGAACGTTCATATCACCCAACGACCTCATAACCAAACTTATCAGGAGATATAACATTTTCTACTACCAACAGGATAAGAAACCTCGATCTAGGGAAGCTTTTGCTTTAATCGTACGAGTTGTCAGCGATCTTACGTAAGTATTTGAGTATATACATTGAAGGTTTATTTCTAAATGTATGAGATTAATGTTACATTAGCATTTAACATTTTAAAAACTGTAACTTTCGCGTAAGAAAATATTCTTATAGCTTCAGCCTGCTATGCAATAAGATCTGTTTTGAAGGAAATCAATTTAGCATCTTCCAAAATAACATATTTTTCTTTGTTCGAGTCTCATCTTCGATATGGTCTTCCTTTTTGGGGTTCTAGTACAGCTGCACAATCTGATGTTAGTTTTAAATTACAAAAAAGAGCAATACGGTATCTTTCTGGCCTCAGTAGAATAACACATTGCAAAAGCTACTTCAAAAATCATGGTATTTTAACTCTTCCCTCTTTTATATATTTTAGAAACTGTTTGCTTAATTCGTAAACATCTACATGTTTTTCCAGCAAGACCTAATCATGACTACTCCACCAGAAATTCAACCTTTGATTTGTATTTACCGATCTCGTCCACTGAGTTAGTAAAGAAATCTATATTGTAACGAATTTATTTTGCCTACCACATGGGGTATTATTATAAGGGGTAGAAAATTGGGGGGAGAAACTACTGGGGGTGGAGATAGGGCAAGCAAAATAATCGATACTTGTGCGAACGGCACTCAGGGTTTGATTAAAGAGTTGGGGTCGTGGATAAGTAAATGGCAAGGGGGTTGGATTGGGGCAACTACAAAAAATGAAACAAAGGGGTACTAACATGAATCTCTTGGGACAAAGAAAACAAAACACAGGAAGGAAGCTCCTCTAGCAATTTAAAAAGGAATGTAACTAATGTAATTATGAATGTAATTGAAACTCAAAAAAGAGTTAGTTAAAAAAATAAACAAAATGTTAAGAAAAAAAATTTAACATTGTATCTTACCACAGTTACAAAATAGAAACTGCAAAAATATTACATCAATAGTCGCAAAATACAAAAATACAAAGAAAAACTTACATGTGTTCTAGCCGTTTACAAACTCTGTTGCTACAAAACTTACGAATGTTACTGAGCTATAAACTATGGCAAATAAAAAAATTATTGCAAATAAAAAAATTATCTTTTTAAATAATGAAAGTAAATAATGAAAGCAATTATTATTAAAAAAAAAGTCTATCTTGATTTAAAAATTTATACACAAAAAGTTACCTTTGAATTTCACTAAATTTCACTCTGCATAATGCCTGGCGTCGGGAACTGGATCTATTAAAATTCCTGGGGTAGAACTAGATGGGAAATCTCTGAACACGACAAAAAAAAACTACTTCAATAAACTGGAACGTTGATCAGCCGGGGACAAACATAGGTGAGGAAAAAACAAATCAGCTGCACATTTTTACAAAACTAACTGGAACCATTGCACGTAACGCAACATGTACTGCACAATTAACTGCAAAACCACTAATCTTTACCACGTAAATTGTTTTTATTTTTTAGGAGCCTCGATCTAACCGAAGATCTCCAACAGAAGCTGATGAATTTCGTACAACAATTAATATCGTGCGGAGAATTGACGTTAGCGAAAGCTTTGAGGGTGAAGCATCTTCAAAGGCACGAAGCTAAACAGCAATCCATGAAGTACACCAATATCGTCACTTCGCTGTCGCTACACAACAGAAATTCAGCTCTATTGGATTTTAAATCTGAGCAGATTGCGGAGCAAATGACGCTGCTGGATGCGGAATTATTCATGAAGATCGAAATACCTGAAGTATTAATTTGGGCCCAAGAACAGAACGAAGAAAGGAGTCCGAATCTTACGAGATTTACGGAACATTTTAACAAAATGTCCTATTGGTAAGTTTAATTAATCCGTTATCTTTTTAATTGATTTTTAATCCATCATCTTTCATATTCGAGTACTATTTTGATTGACTTTTTTAGGGCACGAACAAAAATATTAACTGCCGAAGGAAAAGACACCAGAGAAAAATATTTTTCTAAGTTCATCAAAATCATGAAGCACCTGCGGAAAATAAACAATTTCAATTCATATCTGGCGCTTTTATCCGCCTTGGATTCTGCTCCCGTCAGAAGACTGGAGTGGCAGAAACAAGTCCAAGAAGGACTGAAGGAGTATTGCGCTCTTATCGACAGCTCTTCCAGTTTCCGGGCTTACAGAATGGCCCTAGCCGAGACTCAACCCCCGTGTATACCTTATATGTAAGTAGTGTTGACAATACAGCAACAATATGGTATAATGTCCGTTTTCGTACTTTTTAGTGGTCTAGTTTTGCAAGATTTGACCTTTGTCCACATAGGAAACAGTAATCTTTTGCCAGATGGTTCGATCAATTTCTCAAAAAGGTGGCAGCAATTTAATATTGTAGAAAATATGAAGAAATTTAAGAAGGCGTAAGTATTACACTATTGTATTGATATTACTTATTATTGAGATACTTCTTCGTTTATTATCAATCAAAATACAAAGTATGTGAGGTGTTTTCAAAAACTTCATGGAGTTCTTCTCCCTATATATATCCTCTCCGCACATTAAGTAGGTTAGTTGACCAAAATATCTTGATCCTCTTCTCTCGAGTTATCCCGAGCAGACTTTAAGATAGTAGTTTTTGTGTTTTTCCATCGGTAACCGATAATGTCAGGGGAAAAACAATCATAGTCCACTTTTGATCGAAATTGAGATGACGAAGTTTTCTAGTAATAAATACATATTACTTTCGGATGGTACGGAGTAAAAGGGTACTTTATCAGTCAGTCCTTTTATTACAAATGTTAAATGAAACGCTGTACTGGAGAAGAACCATCAAAGTCCGCGCGCTGCGAGGGAATAACCGACAGGGGCCGAAGACACCCCCTCTCTGTCTCAACATGTCGGGTCGGGTGCAGCATTCCGGTGATTTTCTTTCCTAGTTTAGCGACTTCGTTGGTGTGTTCTATTTTGCCTTTTTCTTCTTCAAGTGCCATCTCCGCGGCGGAGGTCGGCAATTCTCATAGCTATTCGGACTTTTGAAACGGCTGCTCTGAAAAGTTCATTTGATGTACATCCGTACCACTCTCTCAGGTTGTGCAGCCATGACATTCTACGACTCCCTATGCTTCTCTTTCCTTGGATTTTTCCCTGCATAATCAGTTGGAGCAAGGTGTATTTCTCTCCACGTGTAATATGTCCGAGATATTCTAATTTTCTTGTTTTTATTGTATTTAAAATTTCCATTTCTTTATTCATTCTTCCCAGAACCTCTTTGTTTGTGACGTGTTCTGTCCACGATATTTTCAGTATTCTTCTGTACACCCACAGCTCGAATGATTTCAGTTTTTTTTATTGATGTCGCATTTAAGGTTCAAGATTCCATTCCATAAAATAAAGTCGAAAAAACATAGCACCTCGCCAACCTAACTCTTAGTTTCAATTTTAAATCCCTGGTACATAGCACTCTTCTAATTTTGTTGAAATTTGCGCTAGCCTTTTCTATTCTTATTTTGATTTCCTGATTGTAATCATTTATGGAGTTAATCATTGTTCCCAGATATGCATATTTGTCCACTTATTCGACGTTGGTTCCGTTTATTAGAAGATTCTCGTTATTTCTTTGAGTTTTCGGTATTCTCATAAATTTCGTCTTCTTGACATTCATTGTTAGACCATACTCTTTTCCATACTCTGCTATTCTGGTCATCAGTCTCTGAAGATCTTGTGTCGGCTAAGATCACAGTGTCGTCCGCATACTCCGTCGGAGTAGACATTAAAAAGAATTGGCGACAATACACATCTCTGTCTCACCCTACATCTAATTTTAATTTCTTCTGACAGCTGTTCGTTAACACGTATTTTTGCTCGCTGTTTATAGTATAAATTTGATTATATCCTGAGGTCGTTGAGTCAATTTTCTTTGATTTCAGGATATTCATTAATTGTTTATGTCGTACTTTATCGAATGATTTATTATAGTCATTAAAACATGCGTATATATCTTGATTGACGTCCAGGCAGTCTAGTTTGCCAGTTGATTCTATTTGAGCAATAGTAAAGTAGTGAGTACATACTGATTAAAATGGAAAGTAGTGGTAGCGATTGTAGTGATGTAGATGTGGGAACTGCTGCTAAAAAAGAAGAAAAGCAGGCCGTGTTCGTGACGTTATGAGACTTCTGAGAGCCACCACTCATGAGGTAAGGCAAGATTGCAGATGTCACCGTTTTCGTTATTTTGGGAACGTCAATGAAGCCGAAAGGCGACGCATTTTGACTTAATTCAATGAAGTTGCTGACTACTGCGATCAGAATCGGTATTTAGGTGGTTTAAATCGTTCTCCAGTTATGTGTCGACGAATTTGAGTGGGTGCAGGGACACCCGATCTTGCTTCTTATTCCTATCGTGTTAGGAGTGGTCCTGATCGAGACTTTCGTGATGTGCAAGTATGTTTTAAAGCATTCTTATTCATTAATGGAATTTCTGTTTTCCGATTGCAACAAATTAAAGAATCACTAGCCTCAACTGGCACTGTACCATTAAACGTTAGAGGAAAACACGGAATTAGGCTCCACAAAATTAATGAAGATACTATCGTCAAAGTATCAGAATTTATTGGTTCTTTGAAAGGTAGAAAATCACAATACTCCCGGAGAAAAGTAAGAAAAGTTATCTCCCTGAAGAACTCAACTCCGATATTAAATTCGATAATAAAGTAAAGAAAGACACCTGTAGCTACTGTGACAATACTATAAAAGCGGATATATTTGCCGTTTCGCAGAAATTAGATGCCGGCAGTGATGATTATAAAACCTACATCTTGGACAAATTACAAGAAAAAAACAACGAGAAACAACTTCATCTTGCAAGAAGTCAAAAATTTTATTCTGTAAAAAAAAATTTCAAAAGCAATTGATACCGAAACCATAACCATAGACTTCCAAAAAAATTTACCAACCCCTAACGTGACCTCAGACGATATCTACTATAAACGTCAACTTAAATTTATAAGCTTTAATGTACATGTATTGGCCGATTCTCCCTCTGTTTTCTATACTTATAACGAATCGGTAGCAAAAGAAGGCTGACGATGTGTGTTCGATGATTCATTACTTTGTGTATAACGTACTGTCACCTCACGTTCAAAATTTGATAATATTTTGCGGCTCTTGTGGAGGGCAAAATAAAAATTACACAGTTTTTCGGTTCCTTCATTATCTAGTTCAGACAGAAGGATGGTTTGAGTTTGTGAAAGTAATTTTTACCATCAGAGGACATTTTTATGTATAGTGTGACATGAGTTTAATTAATGACAAAGCTTATACGGAAACTCCGGATGACTGGAGAGAAGTCTTCCGCAACAGTAGAGTGAAACCGAAACCGTTCCATATGGTGAACTGTGGGAAAGATATCAAATTTCTGAATTGGACTCAGCATTTCTCCAATTAGTATCCCAAGAAATGCCCAATGCCTACGAGATCTATTCGAGTGTTGGAAATCAGGAAAAATAGCCCTCAATTTATCTTTTACAAGAATACCTATTCTGGGTTATTTACAAGCTCGCTGTTTAAATGCAAACTTAAACCAAACACGAAAAGAAATTTAAGGAAAGCTCATAATATCACAACTCCGGAAGTTACTAGCCACAATCATCCCGAAGCTTTGTACAACGGCCTACTTCCGGTCAAAGCTGCTAAGTTACAAGGTCTCCACTTGACCAAAATTTGGAACACGTAAACTCTAAAAAGTTTTACACTGATTTACAAGGTACTGAACAGGAGGGAAGTTCGGAGGAAGAAACATACAGTACAATTTTTTGTATGATATTTCACAAATATAATATTTTTTTGTTTTCTCTTGATTTTTCCTCTGTAAACATGTCAACGTACCACTGAAAAATTTACCGATTTATACAGTTGCGTTAAAACAATTATTTGTTTTAATTTGAAATATTTAATTTCGATTTCCATGAAAACTGTCTTTGTGGACTCGGACCCTTTGTGGACTGTCGGGAGATTGTTTCCCCCGACTCTTCAATTATTTTTAGTATCTTTCTCCTATATAAAGGTGCCTCTTTTAGATTTTAAACTCCATAACAATTAATTTGGTAAAATCTAAAATTTTTATAAGTAATGTTTTCTTTTTAGAACGTACACATTCAAAAAACAAGAAAAAATCATCACATTTTTCCAAAACTTCGACGATTTCATCGGAGAAGACGCTATGTGGAAGTTATCAGAAACTATTAAACCCCGTGGTAAGAAGACGCATCACTGAGGTTAAGACTAAAAAGCAATATAATGTAATGATTATTCAAATAGTGAAATTATTATTATTTTTAAGGTAATTACGTCCCAAAATATATTTGTAACATTTGGTCACTAGATTGTTACATGTGGGATGCATCCATATTTAAAACGCCCCACTTTAAGTCCTTTAGAAAGCATCAAAGTAAAAAAATTTCATCATTGTCACAATATTTTATAGCGAGAAAATTTTTAAAAATCCCTTTCATACATTGTTCATTCTTCGTAAGGATCTAGTGACATTAAGTGATACTTTGATAGTCACTAAAACAAATTAAACGCATAACTCTTTATATTACACTGAGTTAACCCAAAAACACAGATTCCTAGTATTTAACAGTGTTGCCAGTTGATAAAGTATTCTACAGTTTCAGTATTTTTCATGACGCAAACGTGTTTTTGGACGTAAGTATCTTAGACTTTTCTTAATTTGAATTAGTTTGAGATTTCTAAACCAATTTTTGGAAAATCCAGTTTTAAAAAGTATGAATTAATTAAACAATGAATTGGGCATCGAAATTTTGTCGGGATTTCATTACAATGAGTTAGATCTTTCGTTTGCGTTTCATGTTCGGAAGCAAAATCACTTTTAAATTTATCGTTTAACATTTTACTGACTTTTTGTCATAAGACTGATTGTTCTTAGTATATTTTCAAAATATAAGTATTTGGAATGTAACAAAGTGAACACTGAATCAGCAAATGGCACTTTTTGCATTCCAGAAATAAGAATACGCGAAATGGGTGTTAGATTTAAATAAAATACATTAGTTCAGTGTACGTGGTGAACATTTGAAATTGACAAAATTATAAATAGAAAGCTTGAATATTTTTCTCGATTCTCTGTTGTTTCGTTCATTTCTGCCCTTTGCCATTTCCTTTATTTTTCTAATATACATTCTGTCGTTCTTGATTTCGTGAGCCCTCCTTTTCTTTTATTTTTGTTATCTTTTCCTCACATACATATTTACTGTTTATTTTCCTTTTTTTGTTTTATCATATTTTTGTTCCAGTGTGTTTTCTAGGTAGTTTGACCATTCTTTGTTAATATTATGATTTTTTTAGTGACCAGACTCTTAGTCGACCACTTACATCATTGTTTAATTATTATTTGTTGCCGTCGAACAATCAGAATATTTTCATTTCTCATAGCTAAAAAGAAATAAGAATAAGGTTTGATCACAATCAATTTTATTCTACCACCAACGATCGGTTTCGTATACTATAATTTGCTATGTATCTTCAGATCAGGATGCCGTCTGGTACATAATGTATAGCAATTATGCCAATATTATATATGTGTGATTAAGTAAATATGGATTTAAATTAATTAAATAAAAAATTAAGAGAACAAATGAAGTAGTAAAATTGAAATTAAATAAATATTACTTACATGCCGATACTAGGATTATTAGAATTGGTAGAATATAGAACTATTGGTAGAATAAATTGATTGTGAGCAAATCTTATTCTTATTTCTTATTACATATTTGAAATGGACTCACACAGGCACCATATGTAAGATTTTCATTTCTGTTTTAAAAGTAAACTCGAAAGTTTTTTGTGCAGTTGTGTCACTTACATTTAAAATTTGAAACTTTGAGATGTTCACCACAAAACAGTTAACTCTTTAGAAGGCCTAACTAAAATATAAGCTAACGACGTTAACTAAAAGTAATGTAGACTGCTCCTATGATGTAATATACATTTAGTTGCCATATTTTTTAGAAGGATTTGCCACTGTCCAATTTTTAGCTAAATCCAAAACGCTAGATTAAAAAAGCTATGAAAACTCCAATATTTTGGAAAGTATTTTAAACGTTTTAGGTAATTCTTTTAAAAGGGTATATAGAAGAATGTCTATATTTAGCACTTCTTTCGGTAGGAGCTCAGTTGAACATCGAACAAAAAATCCATCAAAAAAAGTTTTATCTTCGCTCATTCGTAACGTCTGATTTTACAAACATTTTAAAATTTACCTAGATCTGGGGAAATTTTAAGTCACATGACAGAAATACGTCCTTCTGACTGGTCATAATCACCGCAAATGTACCAATTTTTCCCGAAATATAAGTAAATATTTCTCTTTATTTAATACTCTTCCATATATTTACATATAACTGAAGATATTGTGTTTTATATAAGTTTCAATAACTTAGATTGATATAAAATGAGTTTTTAATAAATAACGAACCATCCTGTATAAATGATTTTATAGGATTCGTGTACAACTGTGCTCCTACAAGCTTTGAGCATGATTAGGGAAATTTTTAACTGAATTCTGTCCTAGTGACAGCTAATTTTAGCGGATTATATTTTGGTAATAAAAATTGAATTTTATTCGGCGCCAGTATAAGTGGCCTAAAGCTAATTTTATAGAATAACCACTATGAAATTTATTGAAAACGCAATTTGTGTTCGATATCAAAAATAATTACAATTTGGCGGAGTAGAACTGGCGAACGGTTTTCAATTACGTGCCAGAATTAGTTTCTTTACTCAAAAACAAAATTTACAAGTTTTATAATTCGCGGAGAGACAATCCCAGAGTTGGCAACAATGGTGGGAGGAGAGGGACAATTGACAAAAACGGCACAAACAATGGAATCAAGCTAATTAGACGTTTAAAAATACAGGAGAGGTCTGGGATAACACGAAGAAGAGAATACGTAAGATACCCATATCAGGATACCATAGTTTTAAAACGTCAAGATTAGAAGTCCAATCAAAATACACAAACATTGGTCCTTCGAGCTGGATAGTATTTTGCTCTCAAAATATTTAATAATCCTAAGATGTACTTTAAAAGGACATCTGGTGGTATTAATAATGTGTACGTTAGTAGTATGTATATAAAACTTGTAAATTTCATTGGTTAATGAAACAAAGTATAGTGGATCTTAAGCAAAATCAAGCAGTGATAACAGCAGCAAAGCTGCAGAAATACTCATATGACTTTTGTGTGTTTATAATAGCGCAACATCTGCCTTTTACTGCAAATAACGGTATTTTTAGGGATGCCATTTGTTCTCACTCCAAAATTTGCTTATGATTCATTATGTTGACAATATTTTTGAAAAACCTCTTTCGTTCAGAAATAAAAACACAAATCAGTATATTATATTTATTTTTGTGATTTCTTTATATATCGTAAATTTAAGAGATATGATTTTTTGTGTATAAAAGTTCAAATAATCGCACAATATCTGTATGTAACCTGTAAGTCAATTAATCAAATTTGTTTGGATCTTATGAAAATATTTCGTAGTATCTTAAACAAAAAAGGGGTTGTTTAATAAAACGACTTTTATTTTCTATTAAATTGTTCGTTATGTCCAATTGGAATTGATTTCTTAGTCACAAGTATTACGTTTTACAGTATCATGATTAATTAAAACAAATGGAAAAAAGGGTACAAATGAACACCACCAAATTTTCAAAAAATCATGGGCCTGTTATGATACATTGGTCCTTCGAGCCGGATAATGAGTCTTTCGGTAAAACTTTATGGCGAAAAGTGTTTTTCAAAATTATCCAATATCTAAAATGCCAACTACGGTACCTACATCGGAGAGATACTTCGTATTTCGTACTTAAGAACGTTTAAAGGTGACAAGGTCGTTGACGTCTATTACAAATGCTGAAGACAGCAGGGGATTGTAAAGACAGCATCTAGCAAAACATTAAAAATATAAATATATTGTAATATCAAACCAATAAAACAGCTCAAAAAGTGAGTGCCTGTTACGAGAAATTGCTCCTTCGAGCCGGATGCTGAGTCTCCCACTAAAACTTTAAGGTGAAAACTTAAGTGTTATCCACAATTCCAACAAAAACCAAAGTACAACGTCGGTACCAATATCAGTAAGAGAAATACTTTGTATATCGTTCTAAAGCACGCCACAGAAACCAAGGTGGTTTGGCCACATATTATGAATACTGGAAGGAAGGTGGTCAAGAAGAATTGTAGATTAAGTCACCTTAAGTCCAATGTACACATTATTTTAATAGTAACATGATATTGTTAATGACATAAAACTATTTTAAAACCTATTGATACTAGGGCAAGAATCTTTATTATTAAAATAAAATCGTTTGTTAAACGACCCCAAGATTCGGTGGTTGTTTTTCTTCTACTTATATCTTGTCGGCAGAAATGTGTGTTGTTTTAAACCCAATAATATTTAAATATGTAAGTCTTAAGAGAACCGGCACAAACAGATCTTTCATTCAAACACATACATATCAGTATCCGAAGACCAAAACGCTCTTCCAGAAATCAACAATTTTTATTTTAGTTCGAAAAGAAGTAGGAATGCTAATACTTAATCGAATTTCGAGAAAAATTGCAATTAGTTGTATCAGATGTAATTAAAATCATTTTTTGTATAGATTTTACACCTTTTGTTTTCAATCTATGCGGTAAATATTATCTTAAATAAAAAAAACTGTCTAAAAGTTAGTTTAGGTTCTTGTTTGACCTTTTAAAATGCGAGAAAACATATTTTTACCTCTAAAGTCCATTATAAGTCATCACAGTACAACCAACTGCTTTGATTTTTCGGTAACTATGGAAATTTTGCGGAACTTCACGATGATTTAACATATTTTCGATAGCATTTACAGTAAATAGCATTGAAGAAGAAGTATGCCAATAAATCTTTAATTTTGGGATACAAATGACAGTTAATCTGTTACTGTAGTTCATAAATCACTTGTGCTTCGTGAGATACAAAATATTTTCGGAAGAAAAGTATCGAGAATATTTCATAATTCCTTACATCAGTTGATATTTGATAGTCCGGTTGACAAATTGGATAGCATGCTACTGCGGATTTGCGCGAAAAGACCAGTATTGGTGACTTCATCTTTGATGACTTTTGACGTTGACATTTTCGTACAGAGTTGCCGGATTGTCGGGATAGTATAGAATATGGAAAATTATGAAAAGTGGAAGGATTATTATTAATC